TAAACTATATAGTTTAACTGAAAAAAAAAAAACATGCTTGAAATGCATTTAAGAGGTTTTAGGGATTACACAAAAGAAATTTGAGATTTTTGAGATGAGGAAAAGTATTTTCAATTTTAACATGAATCTTACTTTGCACATGGACTATTCAAAATAAATACTCAATATATTCATGGACAAATCTTTTTTTATTTTATTAAAAATACTTCACTAAAAAATATGATTTTTTGTATGTGAAGGACTTGCAGACCATATACCTAAGAATCGATCTCAGCAGAAGGGAAGCATGGATGATTGAGGGTCATCAAAGTGGAATGATGCCTGGTTGAATTCAATACCATGTGGAGGAAGTCTCTACAGAATTTCTAGGTTGTTGCCAGTCAGAACACCCCAGCCCCCAGTCTAAATCACTGGCAACTAGTAGAGAAAGGCTAGATGTGCCATTGGTGGATGACCTCCACTAATCAAAGTTGTTTCATGAACAGGTGAGACAACGAGGACTCATGAGGGAAGACCATAACCCATAGGGGATGTTCCTTACAGAAGTGAAAAGTTGCCAGCAAACAACAGCACTTTAATGCAGCTACACAGGTCCCCAGTGAAAGGAAAGAGCTATGCAGATCTGTCCATAGGATATATATCACAGCAAGATGTGCTTATGGAGTATGTGCCATAGAAAGGTCTGTTCATAAGGTACATGCTGATGCAAGGTCTGCCCACAGGATGATGCCTCTGTGCAAGACAAGAAGAGCAAAGTGTTTACTTTGTTTGCAGACTAGTGGGGTACAGGTATAGAAACTGCCCATAGTTTGCTAAGCAGGAAAAAAAGGAGAGATATCAGTTTCAACAATTGGCTTAGCAGATGCTAGCCAAATAATAACATTAGTACTCAGCCAAACAGCAAGGTAAGCAATGTTATGGGTACTGGCTATCAAATCAGCAGGTTCGGGATGACCAGCAAAGAGCAGCAGACACTGTGGCAAACACTCCATAAAACTGATGGAATCCAAGTCAGGCTTGGCTTTTGGCTTGCACAAAAGGTTTAATGGTCAGACCAGCAGTGTAAGATTTGGGTGGAGCTTGGTATGTGCTTATAAGGGTACAAAAGCGAGAGGTTGAATTCCTGGTAGACACTATGGTGGACCTCATGATATTTCAAAACCTTGGAGTGACACCACCAATATGGCCAATAAATTTGATTTTTTTTCTGACCAATGGTGTCGGACTAGAAGTTAGAGGAGAGATGGATCTCTGGCTCAGTCTAGGTGTTGCTCACAGAATGAAGGTAGTCATTTCCAATCTCAGGTTTGGAATTATCATCCGTGGGACGAACATACTGTGGTGTCTGTCTGTTTTGCCCGTGTAATGGGTGAGCTTATGCTCAACAAAAAAGTCATCAAATGCCGACCACATATAGCCAAGGAACAGTAAATTTCATGAGTGTATGTAGTGGAGGGAATAACAGTACCTCCATGTACACAAGTGGTATTCTGTGGTTTAATACAAATGAAGTCTGATGCATCTGTAGTAAGTAACATGGTTATAAAAGCCACACATGAGATAAACTCCTTTCCTGTTCAAAAAGCAAGCAGCACTGGCTCAGTTATACATTTGATAAGGGATAAGTCCTGCTGTTTCTTTGTAACTACAGACAACTGGCTATTCAGCTTGATGATGAAATAAGTTGTAGGCACAGTGATAAAGGTGTTAACGGTAGTGGTAGGGTTGTGTATGTTGCACCACAACATAAGCAAATATGAGGATACAAACACACCTAGCATCACTTACTGAGGACTGTGCTGACAAGTTGGACCAATGCAGTGAAAAGAAATCAGTGATTTGTTGGAAAAATACACTAATATTTTTGTGGGACCAGATGGCTAACTGTGTCAAACAATGGTGACTCAGCATCATATAGACACAGTTTACACATGTCCAATAAAGCTACATGCTGGCTTCCTTGAAGCATTAGGAAAGTTGCAAGCACTAATATATAGGGAATGCTGGAGAATGGAGTCATAAAATTTTAGAGAGGGTTTGGTCTTCTTCAGCAGTGACTGTCAGAAATAAGGAAGGATCTATATTGATTTTAGATGGGTAAATGTGGTAACTCATGTTGATGGCTTTCATTTAACATACTAGAAAGATCCTGTTTGTTCAACAACCTGGATCTGCATACAGATACTGGTAAGTTGAGCTGGATGACGAAAGTAGGTTTAAGACTGCTTTTAGCACATGAGAACACTGAATTCTACATCATGCCATTTAACTTGTGTAGTAAACCAGATAGTTTCGAGTAGCTGATGGAGCATACACTCTAGGGAATGCAATGGGAGAAATATCTGCTCTACATGGACAATGTTTTGATTCTTGGCTGCACTTTTGAGCCCTTGTCTGAGAAGATGGTATTTCAGTACATACAAAAAGCAGACTTGAAACTGAAAGTAAGAAAATATTTGCTCATGTGCACAGAGGCAGAGTTTCTTGGTCATATTACAAGAAGAGACGAAGTCTCGATAGACCAGGCTAAGACAGCTGCAATGACAGATTGGCCAAAACCAATGACAAAGCAATAAGCTTGTAGTTCCTTTGTTTTGAATCATATTACACAGAGAATGTGTTGCCAACTTCTCAAAAGCAATTGTACCATTGTCAGCTCTCACTCAAATTGAGAAACATTTTGGATGGAGTGAGAAATGTGATCAAGAATTCCAATCCCTAAAGCTTGCTTTAGTGGATGCTCCAGTGCTGACTTATTCCTGTAAAAACTAAGTTTTTTATTGGACACTGAAGCCAGTGATATGGGATCAGAGTAGTGTTATCACAGTTGAAGGATGGAGTAAAATGTGTAATTATATATTCTTGGTTCACAAATTAAGCTACTGTATGTTGAAGAAAGAGCTGCTTCCAGTGGTTGTCTTTGTAAAACACTAAAGCCATTACTTTTATGGTATAGTATTTACCATTTGGGTGATCATGCTTCATTGAAGTGGATGATAGCACATTGGATAATGATATTACAATAATATGACTGCTATAGTTCACCACTTAGGCCCATAATATGGAAACATTAGTGAAATATCTTGCAGCACAATGAGACCTTGCCCATTCATGGACTGTCTTGACCATGGACACCATCTGGGAGTTGAAAACATGGCAAATTCAATTATAGTGAATGAAAACCATGAAGTAGAATACTCTGCTGGTCAATGCTTCAGGAATTCCAGGCTGAGCAACTGAAGGACCCTTATCTAGAATATGTGCTTCTTGTTGTCCAGCAAGGTCAAGCCCAACCAACACTAGTAAAATAGTGTATTACAGATGCACATAACCTGTGGCACCTGTAAAAAGCAGTTATATGTCCAAGAAGATATGCTGTACCATTGATATTAACCCATGATGTGTGATGCTCTGACAGCACTGCAGTTAGTAGCCTCAGGAATCTGTGGCAAAAAAATACTCCACGATTTGTGCAGCATAAAGACTGGAGGGTACCAAGGTGTAAAATTGTACTAGTGCCAACATTGTTCTTCTGGCTACAAATGAGTCAAGATCTTCAGCACTGGTGTGAGTGCTGTACAATGTGTGCCATTCAAAGGGAAAATCAGCCAAGACAGGGTAAATGCCAACAGAGGATTGTTGAGTCTCTTCTGCAGATGATAGCACTGGATATCATTGATCGACTCCCAGAGACTGCTATAGATCATCAATACATTCTTATTATCATTGGCTATTTTATGAAGTGAGTCAATGCTTAATCCTTTCCTCGATACATTTACAGAGACCATCACAGATGTGTTAACTGAAAACTGGATATCATGATTTGGAGCATCAGAAGAAATCCACATAGATCAGGGAGCAAACTTAAACAGCCAACTATTCACTGAATTATGTAAAGTGTTATGTGTGGTGAAGACTCATACTTTACTCAATAAACCCCAATCTGATGGTTTGGCAGAATTAGTAATACAGACTATCAAGCAGATGCATGAAAAATTTGTTAACCACAACATAACCAACTGGGATGAACACTTTTCACATGTGATGATGGCCCAGTGAGCAATGGAAAGGGAATCTATAGGCTGTTCACCAAACCTGCTCATGTTTGGATGGGAAGTAATACTCACTGTAGTCATTATCTACAGTTCTCTATCACAAAGAGTTTTACAGTGTCCCTAAGCGTATGTAGAAAGTCAATACATACACAAATTCATCCAACAAAAACTTGGAAAGCCAGCTCAGCAACAGAAGAAGTGCCATAATTGGATAGTGAAAGAGTGGATGTTCTAATGTGGCTATTGTTGTTCAAGCCAATCACATAGTTCGATTCTACTATGAGATTTTGGAGAAAGGATCATATGTGAGATGACTGTGTTTTAATTCTGCAGAAATCAATCCTGATAGAGTGAAAGATGTTGAACTAAACACCACCTAGTAGATAATTGACTGTGGTCATGTTTGCACATGCACATATGCTGCATTTTCTTCTTTTTTATAATAAAGATTATGTTTGTTTTATTCAGAACTCGTCCAGTATCATTATTTTACAAACTAGAAAACTTAGATAAGTTTCCAAATACAGACTTTTCCATAAATTTCCTGGTGACCCTGTTGTTATTAGTGGATTTTATGACATTTGTGCAAAAATCAGTTTTAGCTGAAAAATATCACAAGCTTATTCAACATATCAGATTAAAATTTTTTCTTCTTTTTTAAAATACCAAGTTATGGTTTACACAAGTAATGTATTGCAAGATTTACATTAGCAGATGAAACCAATCATAAAGAAGGTAGCCATTGGATAAAGTTAATATTTGTGAAACTCTGGTGTAAAACATATGAACAATATTGTTGTGAAAATACCTTCTCATTCACCAAATATATCTACATTTGAAGTAATAAGCAAGTAAGATAAGCTTATTTTCAGTCACTATGTCTATGTAAAAATGGTTTTAGTAACTTTCAACTGAATCCTCAAAGCACATGGCATGTTTATTTAAAATTTATTTTTAAACAACTAATGAGATATGGACATTTACTGATATTTACAATTTGTATCTTTAGAACATTCTAATACCATGTTAATGAAATAATTAGTTTTGTAAACATTTTCTATTTTGAATCTGAATAAAACTTTATGGACTTAATGGCCCCATAGATTCAGGCATAGCCATCCTTAATTTAGAAATTCTGACAAGTAACATGGCTACAATTTACCAAATAGTGAAATTGACTGCCACACTTATAGTGTCTCTATAGCTAAAAGTGTGAAGTGTGTTCCACAACATACTACAGCCCAATCTGATCTGCAGCCTGGCATGCTAACTACAAGGCCATTACTTAATTAGTAAATCTCCAAACAAAATATCCTAATTAATTCATTTTTCACTTCAAGTGTTATAAAAGTTCATCAATAGCAATTTATACCTAACTTACAGACCTTTCTTCTACTTCTCCCTTCATGTTGAAACCTATTTGACTTAAAATAGACTCATCTCGGCATACACTACTATAACACTCACAACATTCAGTAATCCATCATAGTTATCTTGGGTTATTATCAACATAATTAAAAACAAATGATTACATTACTCTAATAGTAGTAACTCTAAGTTTGTCATTTCACATAAAAAAGAAGCCAATAATAGGTGGTATTCACCCATACCTACTTACTTTTTTAACTTTAACGGTATTTTGAACATAATCTCTTTTCTCCAGTAAGTTTCTCCTCTCTTTTCGGTTCATTGTTGGTTTTAACCTTTGAGGAAAAGATTAACATATATATATAAAAAAATAAAAGTTAAAAGTGTACATTGCTTATTATGCTAGAATTCAGTAAATTAATTATTAAATTTCTCTGTTTATTTTACCTTTCTTTAACCCTCTCGCTATGGGCTTGGTGGATTACACTGACCTTGTGATCCCAATGTGACCATCAGAGTTTCCATACTACAACTATTAATATATTTTGTGTATCTTCACAAAATTTGCCAAGTTTTCAGTAAACATTGAAAATCATTTGTACACAAAAAATTAATTTTTTATTTAAGCATTTTTACTAAAAACTTGTCCTTGAATATATGGAGTCAAGGTGTTGACTATTCTGAGTGCAAAGTTATTTTCATATAAAGATTAAAATACTTTTCTTCCTCTGAAAATTGTTAGACTTCATTTGCATAATGTCTAAAACCTCCTAAATAAATAACAAGTATTTTTCCAGTAAAGATTTATATTTTATCTGTTATTTTCTCTACATAATTCTATATGCATGGGTCATTTTGACTGATCTTCTAACCACCACAAAAAATACAAAATAAATCTAAATTATCTTTTTCTTTCTTTCTAGAATGACTGAAAATTGTAACAGGAAACTACAACTGTTTATCCAAAATAGCTTAAAGCTTGTAACAGTATACATCTTTTTGTACTTACATTTTATTTCCATTTGAACCATATTCCACCACACAAGTTGTAAATCACTTGGCAAATGTGTAGCTCATATTACCATATCGACTTATGTAATTTATGATTTGCTTATGAGCATACCTTGCGAAGACTTTATGTTATTATTATTTTTCATTTTAGTTACTTTTATAATAATAAATGAAGAATACACATGAAAAACAAGAAATATAGTACTTACCTGGGTCCTCTTTTTTTTCCCCTTCTGTTAACCATCGATGAAACTTGTTGCATAGTTAGAAAGCCAGAAACATTTTTATAGTTAGAGGAAATTGTCTGCTTTTTGCATGTTATTATTCTATGTTCTTTGGTGCATTTTTAATTAAAAAATTTACTACCATTAGTATAAAAAAAGTAGGGTTAATTGTCATCAACAGCCTACAGCAAAAAAGAAAAGAAAAAAGAAGACAAGGGTAAGTACTTTATTTTTGTTTATTCTTTATCTATTATTATAAAAGTAACTAAAATGTAAAAATATGGATCTCTGTAAGTTATTTAAGACTAGTTTAGGTAAAATAAGTAATAATAATAATAATATAATTAAAATGGCATGTACATGAGCAGCTCGTGGGTAATGTAATTCGATAGTGTAACATGAGCTACACGTTCCCCCGAGTGATTTACAACTTATAATGGTGAGAATAGTACTTATACATGGTTCAAAGAGCAATAAAAATAAAATTTAATTATAAATAGATGTATACTGTTACAAATTTAGAGCTACTTAGGATAAACAAATGTAGTTTTATGTGACAATTTGAAGTCATTCTAGAAAGAAAAAAAGGGTAATTTAGGTTTATTTAAATATTTTTTTGTTGGTTATGAGGTCAGTCGAATTGACTGATCCCATTTTGAGGTAGAGTAGAGAAAATAACAGATAAACTATATAGTTTAACTGAAAAAAAAACAC